TCTTTTTAGATTTCTCCTTTGACCTTTTGTTGATTGATTCAGTTTTCAATTTTGTGTCTTATGATTTTGGCCAATTTGAAGTTTGCACAGAAAAATTGTGACATCATCCATTTTCTTGTCACATTATAATGTAGACATTGAATCAAAAAATCATTTTATCTTAGATCGGTGTTTGCTTGCAAAGAGAATCAACTAAATTGGACCTTTTATATCTATTTAAGATGAGGAGTTACTAATTTCACTTCTGTTGGCCCTGCTGATTGGTTTCTTATATTAATACTTTTTTTTTTTTTTACACTTATGTGTGCGTGTCTTATATATAAATATATATATATATATATATATATATATATATATATATATATATATAGCATCTAACATTCACTCTCACATATATCTTATTTTTAGATAACTTTTATATGAATGGTATTTTCTCTATTTTTATATGTATTTATTATTAATGAAAACCTTATTGGAATACAATCTTTTTGTATGTAAAGCATGTTAAAAAAGATTTCCATCTGTGATATGTGGTAACCGTGTGACCACTTTTCATCTGTGATATTTTTATTATTTATATATCCTCTATTTTACTGCAGTATTGTATATAATGTTGCTCTCAGAGTGAGTGTTTGCTGGTGTGTGTTCATACACATTCCTCCTCCTCAAATCAGTGCATATATAGAAGGGAGTGTTTATTTTACTTGTTCTTTCTCAGGATATAACATTTGTCAAATTGGCCATTGAAAAAATTGTTTCTGTAATTAAGATTGCTTGCAATTCTGAATTAAAAACATTTTATTTTCTGTATGAAATGATGTTTGTTTCCATCTCATTTAAATTTGTTGAACAATTGATATGTACAATATCTCTCAACTGCTTTCTCTCCTTTTCCTTGTCTAACAAGGAAAGGAAGAAAATTCCTTATTTCTCTTTTCAGCATCAAATTTGTTGTTTTTCTTTCTCTCAGCAGCAGCAGTTGCTACTCAAATTGCAAATAAATTCAGATCACCTCATCTCATGTTTGATGCTATGGAAAGTGCTTTTGAATTGAACATTTTGTTTATTTCATGTGCCAAAAAAGAAATTTAGCAACATTTCAGACTCCAACATTTTATATCATGATGTTTTATTTTTATAAATCTATTGTTTTTTGTTTTTTTTTTGTGTGTTGAGATCCTAACGATAACAGTTTTCTTTCAGCTATCAAAAGCTCTGCATAAGTTTAAATCCCTTTTTTAAGGACTTGTGTGTATATATATATATATGTATCTAAGAGGGTAGTTTCAATGCTGTTCTAAGACGCATACTTTAAAGCATTCTGTATGTATTTTGAACTGCTTGCTGACACTGATCATCTTTTTATGAGGTAAAATATGTCCCACAAAACATCAATTGCTTTATTTCTTTCTGTACTCTATTTGAATAAATTTGTAAATTTTCCAATGCCCCCCCCATATTTTTGAGTTGTCAAACACACAATCTGAAGATTTACTAAAATAATTTAAATGCAATGTCAGTTTTGTTGTCAAAACTGGTATTTGACTGAGAACTAAAGGCTTTTCTGCTTTGAAACTTGGATTCTATTCATGGCATTCATATTGTTGCAGGTCTCTCTCTCTCTCTTCAATTGTTTATCTTAGTCTTTTTGGTTTTCTGAAATTAGGAAGGCAGAAAATGTTTCTTAGTCAACTTTTTATTTATTTACTTTAATAAACCAATCTCCTCTTTAATTGACTTCTTCATGTGTTACTTGACAAACTGCAAGGAAACACAAATCTGAAGATGTTCAAAAATATTGAACTGAATGTCAAAATCTAGACACTATTTTATAGAGGTAAAGAACAATATCAGCAAGGCTGCTCATTTCTATTGAAATAATAACTACAGTTTAAAGTTAGATGAGTGTCAAGTTTCTTCCCAAATGCAATATAATAATAAACAAGGCATGTTAATCCTTTCTCTGGTTATTTATTTGAAGTTTTTATTCATGAGCATGTTTATTAAAAAAATAAATAAATTTAAAGAACTAATACACACACACACGCACACATATATTCTGTTACAATTAAATGAAGTGTATAAGGCGAAAGTATTTTTTTTTTCAATTTACAAGTCAGGGTGATGCAGCCTCTTTGGCTTGTTTACTTCAGGTCTCTCTTCAGAATCCAATGTGGAGACACAACAGCTACACAGCCATTCCAAGGGATCTTTCAGCAGGAAAAAAAGAAATTCAGGAAACTCATCTTCCCTTCATGGATTCTATATACATTGTCTTTTGTATAGAACACATGTAACTGAGCCTTGTAGTACTATGTGTCTTTGATATGCTCTTTGCTAATTGATTTTCATTTTAAAGACAAAGAGAAGGACTTTGTGTGTTTATATGCTCTTTTTTTTTTTTCTTCTTCTTTTTTTTTGTTTTCTGCTTTCTGTGTTTTGTTGCTGTGTGTATTTTTATGTTAAATGAATTCTTGAGCAATATTTTATAATTTTGCTGCTATATCAATTTGTGGCACTTGAAGATACAAATTGCAAGACCTATTTTTAGATAGAAACCTTGACTGAATCTCTGTAGAACTTTTTTCTTTCTTTCTTTTTTTCCCCCTCACCTTGACTTTCTACTTTGTATACCTGATAAAATTTAGTGAATTTAAATATTGAATAGTCAACATTTTTCAGTAATTTTAGTTCATTTACCTGAAGCACTGCACATTGATTGACATTCTACAAGTGTCTAAAAATGAATAATGACCACAGCTTTAAGGATGTGTATCTGTGTGGTGTTAATTGTACACTTATAATTCATTACAGCTTCATGTGTTTATTGATGTTTTATTGGGTTATTTTCTGTGTGGATATTTTTTAAAGAACAAAGTTGTAAAGAATTTGTCAAAAAATCACTTGTTTGCATTTTTTTTGTCTGGTATAATTTTTTCACCTTGAATAACATTCACTCAATCATTTAGTCAAGGCCTAAAAAGTACCAACAGCTTTCCAACTTATTCCCAAAAAAGGTTACTATGTGATATGCATGTATCATAAGTCATAATTGAGAATAGTTGCTATTTTTATCTGTTTTCATTATTAGCTCTTATTGTTAGAAATTGTTGGTATTTAAAACCAAAAATAATCAAGATTTTGGTTAAATTTTAACATTGCCTAACTGATCTACTTTAATTTATATTACATGGATTCCATGCCTTTGAAGAATTGTACAAATGTCTGTTGTTTATTTCAGGTTATTTCAATCTTTACAGCTGTTGTTGTTGTTGTTGTTATTATTGTAATTCTCTTGATGTTGCCTGTTGCTGCATGTTGTTACTCCAATTTCATTTTTGGATAATGCAGGCTGATTCTCACTCTTCATATTTTGGTTTTATTATGCTGCCATTGCACTTTGTTGCTGTAAAAGAGAATAACCTTAATTATTACAAAAATATAGTTTTTCTAGGTTTTCAAATGAAAAACAAATGTTACTTTGCATGAAAAGTGAATTGAACTCAATTTATATTCTCTAACAATTGTTTCCCCCCACCCCTTGTGTAGATAGCTTATATCTACACAAACCTTTATTATACAATAGTCTGTATTTTTTTATTTTATTTTATTTTTTGCTCTTCATATTGACCAGCCTTCACAATAATAATTATAACTGTAAAAAGCAAGACTGACTAGAGATATCTTTTGCACAGAAAACATTTTCTCTCCCAAATAAGCTGTGTAAAATCTGTCAATTTCTGCATAAAAAATTTAAAAAAATGCTGTATATTCAATTCATAGAAGCTCATTTTTCATGAGGTTGCTACTTGAAAAACTCTTGTCAAATACCAGTTTTGATTCTTAATGTTGCAATTTTAAAAAATTATGAAAATAATTGTATATTCGTATTACTTTTTTGTGCTGTTATTTTTCCTCTATTAATTTGTATTTTGTTATGGATTTATACATCTCTGCATATTTTCTGTGTATTTACCAATGTTTTAATTGTTAATGTTATTGGTGCCTTTTTCTAAGGCACATGTCATAATTGCATTGTCTTCGAATTATTACTGCTGTTTTGTCAATTTATTTATTCTTGAGAATGATCTCTGTTTTGAACTTTCATAACTTCTTTTCTCTAATGTTTGTTGGTTGATTGTGAATTGTTAAAATTACTCAATATCAACACTTTCAGAGGAAATGATTCATACATATTTTTTTTTTTTTTTTTTTTTTTTTTTAAAACCTCTATTGGATTATACTACTCCTCACATATCTTTGTTCTCACGAAATGGCCAACTTTGGCTCTTTTTGTGAAAAATACAGGAAGTAATGTAGCAACAAATTTGCCTCTGTGTGCATCAGAAGGGAGCAAAGGAAAGTGCTGTGTAATATCTCACAGCAGATTTCTTGAAAATAAACACTACCAGTGTTGCAGTTTATTACAAGTAACTCCCCCTCAGATCACTTTGTTTGATTTGCCCTTTAAATAAGGGCATGGATTTTGAAAAATATTGGATTTACCTGTAATAAGTAAATACAAAAGAAAAAAAAAACAGTTTGAAATTTATTCTCACCATGTGGGGTGGAGGATATTTCAATGATTTATATTTAAACATTTCTCTTGGGAACCTAAAAGTCATTTAATTTTGATTAGAAATGATATAAGGCAAAAATCTTTCAAAATCCTCCTTGAATTTTGGAGAGGCACATGGTTAAATAGATTCACTTAACTTCACTATTTTTGATTACAACAAAAACTGTTTAATTCCAATGAAAAGCTACTGTTGATATTTCAGGAATTTTCTCCATTCAGTATGTATGTGAGATGCATGGAAAGAGATTGGTTTGTGTGTGTACGCAAGCACGCATGCAGTCTTTTTCTCTCTCTCTCTCTTCTTGCCTCTGAATTCCTCTTTTTGAAAAAAACAAAAAAACAAAAAAAAAAACAACAACAATTTCCAATAAAACCTTGTGCCTTGACTGTATGATATAAAACCTCTTTCCATTTCTTGTAGGTAAAAATCTCTTCTACCATGTTCCTACCCTAGCCGGTTAATGTAGTCCTAAATTTACTCACAGAAAAAGAAATTAACAAAAAAAAATAAAAAAAAAAAAAATAAAAAAAAAACACAAGCCAAGCCCTTTAGCAGCCATTTGCATTCATGTTGTAGCCATAAGTTGTGCGTATGTCCATTGCCTTAACGTCACTGGCAAGCATCTAACCCTGTCAGACTTTTTTTGCACCTGAGTTGTCAGCCACCACCACCACTACAGCAGCAGCAGTTATCGCCGCCGCCACAACCACCACCACCACCACTTCGTCACCACCACCCTCATCATCATCATCACATCCAGCAGCAATCATCATCTCCAGCAACCAGAGCTGCAATGTCTGTCCACCTGTGTTTGGATTGCAAGGCTTTGTGAAACGCAGTGTGTGTATGCAACACAACCAAAGGAGAGCTTAAAGAGATGGAACAAGTGTGCAAGGAAGGCAATTGGATAAAAATTGGCAGAAGACAATATTCTAAAAAGTAACAAAAAAAAATAATAAAATAACAATTTCATTCCAAGAGAAAGAAATTGAGAATCTTTAAGTGCCAGGCTGGCATTTAATTGTCTTTTCTTTTTTTTTTTTTTTTTTTTTTTTTTTTTCTTTTCTTTACACCCCCCACCTTTTCATTCTCCTCCCCCTTCTCTTAGTTCCCTTTTCTCTTTTGGTTATTCACTTTGTCCCCAACCCTTTTCTCCTTCTAGTGACACATCTAATAAAGGGTCTAGAGCAACAATAAAAAGAAAATAGTTAAAAAAAAAAAAAAAAAAAAAAAAAAAGTTTAAAAAAAAAAATTTACATGTGTTGTTTGTTACCATTTTCGCAAAGATGTCAGCTTTATTTTTGTTAGTTTTATTTATTTTCTATCTTTAAAAGATGAACATGTGATTGTGGATTTTTATTTTTATTCTGTTTGCTGAATGAAGAATGGCTGAGGGGATGCAAATTTTTTGTAGAAAAATCTGAAATGGTTGAAATATTCTTTTTTACTTTTATTTTTTTGTGCTCATATTTAATATTTTTTCTTTATCTGGTTAGAAATAATGAAAATGTAAAAAAAAAAAAAAAAAATTTTTATTTATTGAAAAACACTGTTCATGTGGAATATTAGGGTATTTTGTTTGAAAAGAAAATATTTAAATAGTAAAATTCAATTTAGTTTATTGAATTCATTGGGTCAGTTACAGGTCATTTAGATTAAATGGGCAATTGTTTTCTGAAAAGAATACCAATTCTAAAGAAGATTTTTTTTTCTACCATTAAGAATTTTCTTTTTCTTTCTGCATGCTCTCTCTCTCTCTCTCTCTCTCTCTATAGTTTTGAATATATGACTCTTAATTTTTTTTTTTTTTCCATCTCTTTTGAAAAGAAGCAGATGCTGGCATTTTAGTTTCAATTCCTCCATCTCTAGAAATACAAACAATTCTTACAGCCTAAACGGTGTCAATCAAAATCATTACCTTAACAATTTAATTTTTCATTGGCATAAAGCACTTTGACTTGCTTACTGAGTATTATTCACTCAGACATGTTAACAAAACCTGGAAATTCTTAAAAATACTTATCTTTGTTAGATCTGTCAGCAATTAATAGAAATTGGATCACAAACCAAGAGAGCTGAATTGGTAAAGCCTACTTATCTGTTATAGCCCAAAGCAGTGGTGGCAAATGCCAGAAGAATGTGAATCAATTGAGTGATAATCACCTGGCTTATGATAGAATTGTGTTGTGTTAGCCTCCTTACTATTTCCCTTACAGAGTGACTGCAGCTGAAATTTTACTTTACTCTCTTGAAACAATATAGACATTTATTATTTAGCATAAAAATAACTTGGGTAATTTTCTTAAAATATGAAATAAGACTAGAAGAAGCTGCTATAAATGAGGATTTTTATTGGGGACGGAGGGGGACAAGATTTGCAGGTGATTTTTCTATTGCTCTTTATTATTTCATTCTTCCGTTATGGATACACGTGTTTTTCTATTGCAGAAGCGTGTTCATTCAATAGGAACATGTCTCATTGTAAAGCAGATTATATTTTAATAATTTTGTTTCAAGACACTCATAAAATAACAAGTCATATTCTTAAATTTATAATTGTCACAACAATGTAAAAATATTAAGGCAAGCAAATTATAGGCACATTCTTTTGTGGCCAAGTCATCTCTGACAAAAACCATTAAATATTGGTAAACAATAAAAATACATTTGACAAGCTTTAGTTAGAATGTCAACTTAGAGGTATGTGTTTTAAGAGGTTTTAAGTAATGATGTCGTCTCATACTGGGTTATGGCAAACTATTGAACTTGTTTTTAGTAAAAGTAAACTAAAGTACATTGTTGGCTACAAATTTGGAAATTTGAATAGAATCAAATCTCTTTATGACCTGATATGTTTTTCTATTATGAATAAGTTGATTTTTATTTATTTATTTTTTTCTTTTCTCTTTCTTTCTCCCTTTCCCCTGTTGGTGGGAAATGTTAAAGCATACAAAAAAGCTTATTGTTCTGCCCCAACTGTTTTTTCTCTGTGCATCCCTTTTTTTTTTTTTTTTTTTTTTTTTTTTTAAAGAAAAAAAAAATTGCTGCTTCAATTGGTATTTTGATTTCCCTTGGTTTTGCCCCTGGGTGTTAGAAAATCAGTTTTACCTTTTACACTTTCTTTGACCCAGGCATGCAGAAAGAAGCTACAAACTTTAGGTCATAATTTGTATTTAAGGAAATTCATTGGTTAAATAGTTTCATTGAAATCTCAATTTATTGCCATGATACCTTATTTGCACAGATTGAGTTTAACTAAGGGCAAAAATTACTTTTGTTACTAAGGAACAAGGCTTGCATAAAATTTCTTGTAGTTGGAAAAAAATTTTAAGTTTTTCTTATTTTGTTATTTAATAGTTAATCATCTGAATCTATTTTTATAATGTATAATAATATTTGTGTAAAATTTGCAAATAAGTTAGTAATAAGACTAAATGAACATCATAATTATAGAAGCAGTAAGCAGCAGGATTTTTAGAAAATAAAACTTAATCTTTCCAAGTAACTTAACACCCAGTGGCATTTATCTGGACCAGAATCATCAGGTAAGAGAAGAAAAGAAAAACATTTCCGTATGTAGTAAAACAATTTGCTAAGTGCATGTATGGAGGGTGGGGGGCATTTTTTTCTTTTTTTTTTTTTTTTTTTTTTTTTTTTTTTTTTTAAATGTTATGTTATGTTATGTTTTGTTCATATATGTATTTTTATTTATTTGAATAGTTTGCTCTTGCTGGTTTTCCCATTGATTTCTGAAGGAGCCAAAACTCCTCAACAATGGCCACTTGGATGTTTAAGCAATTTTGCATTGAAATTGAGTTGAGCTATCTTTATATCTAAACTTGAATTAAAGTTTTGCTTTGGATACACCCTTGATTAACTGTTGGAGGACAAAGCCATTTGATACTCAATAGAGGTTTAGAAAGAATACCAAGAGAGCTTGTATCTCACAGTGGTTTTTGCAATGATTGGATAATTGAAAAGGCCTTTCTTGAATCAGAATTTTATTTGCACTATACCATGGGATATGATTAATGCTTTTTTTTTTCTTTTCTTTTTTTTTTTTTCCTTTCTCTCTACCCCCCCCTCTCTCTTCTGCCAGTTTCATTAATTATCATATATTAAAAACCCTGTTGAAAATTCAGTATTTTTAGTGGCTTGAAATTAATTAGACAATGTTATTATTAAGCATAAATTAAAGCAGAAGAAAGTTAATCTAAGTTGATCTCCAAAATGTTTGGTTGATTTTCAGTGGTGAAATCTTGTCAAATAATGACAAAATACTGATTAATTGAATATTTACATCCTAAGTCTCATTTGGAATTTTGTAGCAAAGAAAAGTGTTAGTCTGCCAAATGTGTTATTTAAAAAAAAAAATGCACAAGGTGAACTGGATTTTTTTTTCTCCCCCCAATAAGTAGTAATTTACTGACAAGTTAATTTGTTTTTCTCTTTCATGTATTCAAGGAAGAAAGTATTTTCTTTCTGTAACTTGTAAACATTTTAATATCTTTCTTCCAACTGTCATTCTCAAAATATTTGTCTTGTCATATAAACTTTGATTGTGGAAGATCTTTTATTTAACCCATCCCACTTCCAACATCTATGATAGCAGTGAAATTTCAATGCAGAATTGCTTCAACTGCTTTGGCTTTTAATGTGCACAAATGTGATGTAGCTGATAACGTGATACCATATGTGCAATGATGGGCTCTTATCATCCAATTTATGGTCACTGTTCAGATGATATCTCATATTGGGCAAAATTCCTTTCATAAATTGTGTTCTTGGTGCTGTTGAGAAATATTTAATGGTGTATCAAAATAACTTAAAATATACTTTTGTTATCACTGTTGCTTCTATTTTCTGTATTTAAAGACTTGATCTTTTCATGGAAATAACTCAACATTGTGGCCAATATTTCTGATCTTGAGGATGATTGTTCCTCCCCGACCTGCCCAGTATCCTTTCATGAGAAAAGTGACCTGGCTGAGATTTACTGTTATGAGCCATCTGCAATGTGAAATGCCAACCATTTTAAAAAATTTTTTTTTTTTTTTTTTTGTGTGTAAAGGATGGGAAAACATTTGATTTACATCTACCAAAAAGTCTACCCATTCCTGTTCTGGTAAAATACTGTTTTACATTTAACTGAGCATTTGAGGAGCAGATTCTTTTGCTAGGAGCCATATTGGACCAGTTGAAATACATCGGAAGTGATACGAGTCTCAGCTGATTCTCTTAGATCATATCTCTGCACATAATACATAGAATGACATCACTAACATCAGGAATTTAATAAATTTAATCATAAGAAATAAGGTTAGAAAACATTTTGTTTAAGGACTGGAATTATTTTCAAACACTTTTCTACAAATAAGTATTTTTTTTCAACTCTAAAACTTTTATACAACTTGATCTAATTTCTCAGAGAAATTAATAGCAGCAGATATTAAAAGTTCAAACTTTGAGATTGCAGTCTTTTGTTTCATTTCACTCCACTATGGAGTGCCTAATTTTGTTTTTACTGCTGAATCTCATATGTAACTTGAATGTCTCTACTGTAAATATTTTCAAGATATGTTTTACTGAATTACACTTGATCACGTAATGAAGAAAACCCTCTCAGATCAGTTTTAATTGAGGAAGAAAGACTGAGGGTTTTGTTTGTTTTTCTTTCTCTGCCCCAATCCAACACACGCACACCCTCTGTTGCTGTTCATTGTTTTGGACAGTTTCTTTAACATTTTTTTTCCCAGGCCCCATTTTGCATAGCAGATGTAACATGTAAGATAATTACCATGTAAAAGTGACAAAATACATGATAATCAACCATGTTGCTTGCTGCCATTTTAATACTTTCAGCAGAATCTCCTCAAATAGACCAAATATGCTGATGCAGGGACTTAACATAAAACTTCTTTCTATTTTGTACCACCAGCTTTTACAGTTAGAATTTCCTCATTCCCAAATAGATCATCTCAAATAACGATGATCTCTAAATTCCTCACAGCTTCCCCTCTAAATTACATCTTTGTTTCTTTTGCTGATATAAGAAAAAGAAATGTCTCTTGACCCCCCCTTTCAAAAACCTACTTCCCTCCTGAAATTTATTGTGCAGTTGGTTGAATTTCTGAATTGGCACCAAAAATGTTATCATTGGTGTTTTTCTTTTTCTATCAAGTATACCATTTTACTTTTCATTTTTCATTCCATCAGTTGAAAATAAATTTTATTTCCCCCAAAATTGTCATTTAAATAAACTGGATAAACTGTGTATTTAAAACTGGAAACTTTAATTTGCTAGCAATATGCTAATACTAATTTGCAATAACGTTTTTCTTTATGATTTGTGTATATTTGTTGATTGTTAACAACACTTAGTATTAATTTAGTTATTTATTGTTATATCTGTTAATAATTGTGACACTTTTCACTTTTTTTTTTTTTTTTATTATTATAGTTCAAGAAGTACACTAAGAATGTCCATTTATTTTTACATCTGGTTTTTATGTATATGTGGGGGGGGATGGCGGAAGCTTTGTATTGATTACACTCTACCCATTCCCAGAAAGTATGTGTGTTTCTGGGTGTATCTGAAAAAAAATGTCATGGTTAGTATAAGATTTGAAATGTCTATACAATTATAGAAATTTTGGTATTAATTTTTCTCTAAAAACATTTAGGATGCACTCACTTGACAGCATTTCTATGCAAATTGACTATCATGAATCAAAGACATATCAGTGTGTCATTATTATAATAAGTTAATATATTTGTATATAAATGAAAATTATCTATATTTCTATTTTGGAATTGAAGTACAACTTTTTTCTCATCTTCCACTTGTCATATAAGATATGAAAAATGGTTTTGTGTGTGTATATTATATGTATACATACACATACATATATAAAAAGAACAAATTAAATCATAATGACATATTTGGCTGTGAAATTATTTTTATATATATAAATCAACCTTTTATTTTTATTTATTTTTTTTTTGTTCATATGTTTGAGTTGAAATCTTAAAAATATCTAATTTTGTAAATGCAACCTGCAAGTCTTTTCCTTGATAATAACAATGAGCCAATCAATTGTGAAAATGCTTCCTGGTCTTTGGTTGTTTGTCTCTTGACAAGGGTATATGAAAAAGGAAAATGCTATCCTTTTAGAGGCAAACAGCTAAATGTTATCTTGAAATGTGCAGACTGCAAATTTGGATTAAAAACATTTTTAATACTTTTGTAAAAAGGCCTTTATTTATTTCTATAATTTGAGGTTATTGTTGGACTTTTTTTTTCTTTTTTTTTACATTATACATAAATATCCAATAGTTTTGGTCAACATGAGTTTCACATTTCCTTGATTATATGATAAAGTGTTTATTTGAAAATAGTAGTTAAGCCATCTTGGCAAATTGTTGCATGTTGCAGCCAGTCTGAACTACTGCTGTTTTCTAGTTTGCTGACTTCTGAATTGTCTTTTAAGTGTGTGTCTCCCACCCAATCCTAAGGACTTGAACAAATCATAAATAAGGCCTTTTTTTTTTTTTTTTTTTTTTTTTTTTTTTTCTCTTCCCTCTTCTTCTTTCCAAACCTTGCTCATCAGTTTCTCTCTGACCTGCCAAGATGAAGTGCAATGAACGGAACTCTGCAATTTGTCATCTCACCCACCAGGATCACCACCAATCACTACACGGACTCTCTTAAACCTTGAGATCATTGTACTTTGACTTTTCAGGTTAGTATGAAAGAAGAAATTACTTTAATTGGATCATCTGAACTTGTTACACAAAGCCTGAGTTGATTCAAACCTGAAACGTTCACATCTCTTTCGATTTGTTTCTAAGTGCAACAGGAAGAGGTAAACTAACATGCTTCACCAATTCTGCAGCTCCCTTTATATTTTATCTACTACTGAGCCAGGCTGGCTCAAGCCGACACCAACAACCACTGCATGTAGAAGTTTATTTCATGTGCTGCAGCCTATGAAAATTAAGTTTCTGATAAATTGTTTCCAGTGAACATGAGATATAAAGTGGCCTGTCTTTGCTGTTGGCAGCCTTTTATGTTAAGAGGAGGATAGAAAGGTGTTAAAGACTTGTTAATTGGACTTAATTAGGTAACACCTTTAAAAAAGAAAAAAGTCTTCTATTCTGAAAAGTCCATTGGAAGAATTCCAGATAGGCTAAAATCACCTTGTATTCATGAGCCCCGCCTTCACCTATATTGATATTTTGCATCTGGACATTTTTTTTTTTTTTTTTTACTGTATCACTGGGTAAGATTGTATAATTGATTTCTTATGAGTGTTGTCATCATTATCATTATCCAGGTGGTTCACAAAGTTTCTACTGTTATCTAGATACTTAAATTTTCAGCTGAACTCTGTTCAATCTATCAAAGCAGTATTCATCATTTCCCAATCGTTCTGTTACATTTTGTTAACATTGAAAATTTGGCAAAAATAGGATAAGGACAAGTTTAAATAAATCAATATTTAAGGCTGAACATTCAGGTCAGCTTCACCAGAGCAAAGGTGAAATAACAGTTTCTATGATGCAAGCTTTTCCAAAGTCATTCTGTAAATGTTGCCTTGCATGACACGTTTACAGTTATTAATAAAAATTGTGTAAATGGCTTTTAATAAATTCTGTATATATATATCAGGCAGGACTGGAAAACTAGTCTCACATATACTGGGAAATACAAACACACGGACTTCTTTTTTTAATGGTCAGTGAGATGGATTTGTAGGCCATTGCATATCAATTTGATTTTCACTTGGTACCCTGTATGTCTTGCCTTAGCATTCTTTATTAAAGGTCAAGTCATAGAGGCCTCCATTTCTGAGTAACAGATCCATTATCTCAAATCTCAATTCACTGGAGGAAAAATTTTTAATTTGGGTTTGTAGTGGTCTTGCTGTTATAGTTGGCTTAAAAGACTTCAATGAAATGAGAAAAAAAAAATTTGAAATTAAGAGTATACTTAATTTGGCTCTTTATCTTATATTTTTCTTTCCTCACCTCTTTTTACAATTAATATATTTTTGCAGAGCTTCAGATCTATTACTTCCCACCTGATTAACAAGGATATACAAAATGTTATACATTTTTTTTAATCTTTCTTTTAATGCAGATAATTCAGTTTCAATGAAGCAAAAACACTGGTTTTTAGGAACAAAAATATGACATAAAAGTAAATGTTTTATTTTATTGTTTAGAAATAACCATTTTAGGCTGACTTATTTTTATAAATATACATTATTTTTTTATTATAGAACTACAAAGAGATTAAAAATAATTAACTTAAATATGTGTTTTAGCAGCAGAGGTTAGGGTTTGTCTCTACTTCAGAATATCTAATGATATTGGATTAAATTTATTAAAGTTAATTATGACATTAACTTTACATAGCAATATTCTTACATGATTTTCATTCATTTTATCCTGTACAATATATTTACTTCTATTTCGTTTTAGAAAGAAACAGTTTATTTGTAAAAAGAAATCAACAGATTTCTTTTAAATAACAATATCATAAATATGAAATCACCTTCATCTAATAATAGCATTTTAAAATAAATTTTGCAGTATAAAAGCAAAAAGGTTTTCAGGAAAAAAAATACTTAAAAAGAACTAAGAATGACATTTAAAATAAGAGTGACCAGTAAAAATCAGATTAATAAATAATTTCACTGTGAGAAGCGAGATAAGAATTCACCAGTTTTTTTTTTTTTTGTTAAATACAGAAGCCAAAAGGAATAAAAGCTTCATTGGCTTTATGAGTTTTCATGAAAGAAGAGCACAGTAGTGAACTAATTTTATATCAAAAGTTAACTTGCCTTCCAAGTAACGACCAAATTTTGTATTTTGGGCATTTTTAGACAACTTTGTGAAGGAAAGTTTCTTAGAATGGGTGGGTGGGGGGACTATATCACCTACAAAACAAATCAATGCATTTACTTCAATTAATTCAGAACTTTTTCTGAATGTAAAAGCCAAAAAAGTTCAAATC